GAGTGTTTGCGTCACCCCCACAGGAAAAAGACTGACCATGCAAGTGCTTGCTGACAGCAAAGGATATACAGCAAGTGTCAGGCCAGAAGTGGCTGCATAACCACATGAACAAACAAGGACTGTAATGAGTACTACTTCCTTATCTCGACATGGAAGTTTACATACATCTGAACCAATTATTTTTAGTTTGGACCCCCTCTGCTGACATAGAGTTAACTTCATTTCTCAGTACTTAAGATACAGCATATTAAAGGCACTGTATAAATCAGCTAGCATAAGAACAAGGAAGACCTAGAGACAAAAAATGGATTGTATTTTTGTTGTTTGTTTGTTTTTGAGAGGTTTTTGCCATAGGGTGTGTGCGCTTGCCAGAAAGACAGAGAGACAGAGAGTGAGAAATCACCCCCTGGGGGGATGGTCACACTGCAATCCCTTCTCCTCCATTCTCCTTTTAGGATCTTGGGCACGCATGCGCACACACCCGGCGTGAGTTTTAAGCCACCGGGTCCGGGACTCCAACGGAGGTCGGCTACATGGGAGTTCAGTGACATAGCCATTACGCTAACTGCTGGTCCCTGGATTGTATTTTTGGATGATACATAATGGATGATACATTAACCTTTTTCCTAAAGAGGAAATAGGAAAAAGGTTAATGTATCATCATTTATAAGCAAAGGAACTTACTCATTTCTGTTCCTCAGGCTGGGTAATTCCAGTCAATGCATCTTCAAGTTCACACTTCTCCTCGCCACTCAAATCCGCTGTTGAAACGCTTTAGTAAATTTCGAGTCATTGTACTTCTAATATTGCTCTCTCTTTATTCATACATCATTCTCCTAGCTTTACTTAGCTCCTTCTTCCTAGTTTCCCTTTAGCTTTTGAATCACATTTAAGACCACTGATTTAAAGTTTTTGTTTCTTAAGGTCAATTCCTATGCCTTCTCAGAGATAGTTTCTGTTCATTTCTACCCTGCTCCGTTATTGCTCTACATTTTGTTTCTTTGCATGCCTTTTTTTTTTTTTTGGTTATAAACTAGACATTTTGAATATCATGGTGTGGCTACAATGAAAATTTTGACCTATCCATAGAATTTATCATTGTCAGTTGCTGTGAGTTATTACGATTTTGTTTAGTAACTTTCATAAACTGCTTTTGTAAAAACTGTCTTCTTTGTTCTATGGTCCCTGAAGTCTCTGTTTCCATATCTTAACTAGTGGTTCAACAGTGATGGTTCCTAATGCCTAGAGCAAAAAGAAAAAAATCCTGGCCAGGAGTTAGTAGATTGGCTCTGTCAAGGATTACCTCTTTAACATTTAAGCAGGCTGTTAATTCTCTGCCGTAGCCTTCAGTTTCTGCTCGTGCTGAGTCTGAACTTTAGCCAGAGATGATGTTTTATGGTCTTCTCAGTTCTTTTCTAGATATGAGTCCTGCCCTGGGCATGTACCTGGTTTCTAGATACCCAAATTTACATGAATGGCTTAAAGTCTTTATTCTCCAAAGCATCTCACTCCATAGCTTTCCCTCGACTTTTGGCATGTCTATTTCTGGCCCCAGGCAACAGCAACTTGTTCATTTGCCTTTAAATGTTTTTGAGGAATATCTTCCATATCGTTGCTTCACCACCCTGTGAGAGTTTGGAGTTATGCAAAACACAAGCAACTATTCCCCTAGTGTCAGCAGAGGGAGCCCCCAGACAGGTTCAAAGGGACAGACACATTTCCTTAGGAATAAAGTTCACTCTCTCCCTTCCAAAAACAGGAACCCACACTTAGAATGTAGACTGTCATGTTCAAAACCACTGCCGAGCCATGGAGGGGACTGGGGCAAGGGTAAGGTGAAATGCCACGAAGATCTCTTGCCATGTTTCAGTGAGTTTTCTCCTGAATCAGCATTTGCGTGGTTACTGCAACCCTTTGACTATGTTTCAGAGTTCCAAGAAACTTTATTATGACATTTTCCCCCCAGTGCTTTCATAGTTTCTTGGCAGTAACTAGCCTCCAGAGTACCCTGCTTTGCTATTTCCACCAACATCACTTAGTTCTGTGAGCAATGTTTTGAAGTTTAAATCCTATGTTAACATGTCATCTTGTTTACTAATGTGTACACTTGTTCCGAAAGGAAAACAAATCACAAGAAACATACAACTAGACATTTCTCTAGCAATGAACTTAGGAAAAATCAATAAAATGATTTATTTTATACATGCAAAGTCAAAATCGCTTTGTACACTTAAATTTTCTTCAAATTAATACAAACATAGTAATACTGCTCCATATAAACTTTCGTATAAACATTAAAAGAAATATATACATTACTTTCGTTTTTAGTGCTTCTGAAGCACAGAATGTACAAGTTCACCTGAAGACTTTCTGTTGTCACATGTCTCAGGCGTACTTTGTAATGTCTCTATACAAAATAGAAGAGAGTGGAGGTAGATTGTTCGGTGACTCTCCCTGCCCCCTTCCCACAGAGAAATAAGTTCCCCAAATAGCAGCCTCTTACTCTTTGATTCAAATTATCCTGAATATGGTTTAAAAGGCACAAGTAGAAATTGTTGGAAACTTTGTTCGGCACATACAAGATTACTACTTTAATGTTGTACACCTATTCTTTGTTTTAAAAAAACACAGTGAGAGCACCAAGCAGTGCTCCACTTGCAGGTGGCCCCTAGTCACTCTGAAAATGCCTGGGATGGCCAAGTTCACAAGAGTGAATCCTTATTACCTGTGGTAGGGGCAGCCATGTATACTGACATTAACTTGCTAAATCAATAACATCCTGTTCTTCGGTTGGGAAAAGAAACAACAAAGTAAAACAAAAATACTTTCAAAGAAAATTCTGAAGGGAAGAGTCTGGCTTTTACTGCCAGGTAATCACAAAATTTTTAAAAATCTCCACTGCTTTCTCTTAGCCCATAGAAGGCAAGTCCCTTGACTTAAACATTCTAGGAGGCTTTTACAATGTTCTGTTCCACCCAAAAGCACAGAAAACTTGTCCTCTTTTCATGCTGGTCTTTGCATTAACACGATGAGCTGTTGTTGATGTGATTAATGCTGTTGAGAAGGTGGTGGGAATCTATTTTTTCTAGTACCTTCTCAAGGTACTGAATTAATACTCGTCTTTTAAACCTGAAAATAAAGAGAAAGTTTCTTAACCAAAAGATACTTTTAGCGCTTAAGTGTAAAGCAGTGTGTGGGACACAGAATGGAACTTACCATCTACATGGAACTATAAAGTTTGTTCTCACAGAAGGATATGGTTTAGCAAATACCAACAGTGCCAATTGAGGGCCCAAGCCCACCCTAGATTTTGGTAAGCCTAAAAGGATGACTGGGTTGGACTCAGACAATATTTATACAGTCTGAACTATGAATGAAACCTAGGACTTGAGCAAAGCAAAGCAGAGCCTGTTCCTCTCTCTGTCTTGCCTGAGGCCTTACTGCTCGAAAGGGAAAAGAAAACAAAAACAAAAAAACTACAGAATTTCTGTTTATACCCACCTTGCAGCTTCCTTGATGGTAAATTCCACAAACTGTTTCTTCATCTCCAAAGGCCCTTGCACTTCTTCAAGCAAAATGAAAATTCTTTCATATTCTGAAGATGTTAAAAAAAATAAACTTCAATGTTCTGTTTTTTTGTTTGTTTGTTTGTTTCTGCTATAGGGCATGTAAACTAATGAGAGAGAGTTTGTGTGTGTGTGTGTGTGTGAGAGAGAGAGAGAGAGAAATCACCCCTCAGGGAAGATGGACACACCGCAATTCCTTCTCCTCCATTCTCCTCTTGGGATTTGGGGCATGCACGAACACATTCCCAGTGTTACTTTCAAGCCACCAGGTCCAGAACTCAAATTGTGCCATTCATTGGCCATGTGGGATCCAGCACCTTAACCTCCATGCCACCTTTTGGCCCCCAAACCTTCAATGTTTTAAAAAATATGAATGGGAAATAAAATTCAGTAATTGTACATCCTCTGTAGTAATTTTTCATGGGTGCAAAGTTAAATGTAGTTTGTGTATTAAACAATTAAATCAAAACACCTGTAAATACCTACTAAGGAAATTCTTGGGAACACTGACCATATGTGGTAGGCTCAATAATGGCTGCCCAAATTGCCCATGTCCTAATCCATGGAACCTGTGAATATGTTACCTTTATGTTGCAGACAGAATTAAGGTAAGGATCTTTTAAAATATTATTATTTCTTCCATGAGAGAAAGAACATGAGAGACGCAAGAGAGACGAGCACTTCTGACAGGATCTCGTCATGCCATGATCCCTTCTCTAGCCCTCCAGCTAGCTGGGATCTTGGGTGTACAGAACAATTCAGGATCTGAAGCCTCAGTTGGCCATGTTGCTTCCAGCACTGCAGAGTACCATGCTACTCACTATGTCGCCAAGGCTAGGCCATAACCTAAGGATCTTGAGATGGAGAGATTATCCAGGTTTATACAACTGGGTCCTATGTAATTCCAACTGTTCTTACAAAATGGAGCAGTAGGTTTAAGGTCAGAGGGAAAAGATCTAAGGATAGGAGTAGAGATCAGAGAGGAGTAAAACTACTAACACTGCTGACTTGAAGATGGAGCCTGCCAAGACCTTCATTTTAACCTCAATACACAGAATTTCAGAATTCTGACTTTTAGCACTGTAAGTGTTCTAAGCTATGAATTTTGGATAACTTATTACAGCAGCAAAAGGAAACTATTACAAGAAAGGGGGGGGAGGAGAAAAAACGGTGTGCTATATCTTTTTAGTTAAAGCAAGAGGAATTGTTTTAACGCATGTGAAAACTCAATACTGTCAAAAATACACCTCAAGAGGTAGCTTGAATCTATTCTGAACCATAGAATGGGGACCTCTTGTTGCATTATTGATAGATATCCTTTTACTACTTACTTCGTCCAAACTTTCGAACTTCCTTCATTAACTGATGTTTTATGTCGGCATTGATTCCTTGTGCCATAGCAGGAGTTATGTGCAATGTGTTTGGCACAGTTCCCAAAGTGGATGCTACTATGACTTTTGGGTCATCTGAAGAGAAACTGCAGTTTTTGACTGCTCCTACAAGTGCATTACTACCAGGTTTGTGAATCGACCCATCTTTGCTGAGATTAATGAATTCATCAGATGGAGAATCTAATTGGTTGGGAGGAATACCATCTCTTGCCATATTCATAAATTCTGGTGGAGCAGATTTTGATAAGAAGCCATCAGGTGGGGTTTGACCATTTTCCATCTTCTCCTCATGGATATCGTGTGTGACGGTAGCATCTGGAAAGCAAATTAAAAAGTTGAATTGTGAGGTAGGTACATTATGTCAACTCCAGAGGAATATCCCAATGCTCCTCAATTTTGAGGAAATTTGTTAGTTCACAAAAGAGAGGGAAATACCAGGTGGAGATCTGAGATCCCTCGAGTTGAGCTCAGGGAAGATACAACAAAAGAATCTCCTCCCCCTCATGACACATACAGAAACCATGTAAGACAGCATAGCTAACAAGTAAACCTTCACAGGTCCCTAGCACTCATGTTTAGCATTGGCTTTCATGAGCTGAAAAGCAGAGTCTCACCTGATGTCATGATTTGTCAGATTCATATACCAATTGTCATTTTTTATTGACCTCAAAGTCAACTTGGGTACAACTTAACCTCCCTCCTCTCTACTTCAAACATTCTGAGAAAATAGGTGGCCATCAGATCCAAGCAGAATATCTCCATTCTATCACCCCAAATCCCTGTCTGTACCTATACATCCTGTCCGCATCCTTCCCTTCCATGTCAAAAAGGTAGGATTTTATTTATGCTAAGTCTGGCACCTCTATTTAATGTATTCATCCTCTGTACCAGGCACCTATCAGGAGCTGGGATGAGCAGTGAACAAGTTGAACAAGGCAGACAGACACTTCCCCTGCCCTTGTGGGACTGGCATTCCCCTGAGAAGTCAGGCAGTAAGTGCAGTGAGCCAGGGAACCCTCACGGTGGATGCGTTTCCAGTGGATGCGTGTCCGGGGAGGAGTCAGCAGGGCGTGTCCGGGGAGGAGGCAGCAGGAAGGGCAGAGGGCACAGCAGAGGGAGCCAGCGGGGCAGGGCCAGCAGGGCAGGGGTTGGGCAGAGCCTTCTGGGAGGTGTCCTCTGGGCAGAGCCCCAATGAGAAGACGGAGCTGCCTGTGTGGGCGCAGAGGAGGTGCTCCAGGCTGTGGTGAGGGCCAGGACAGGGGCTGGAGAGGGGATAAGCCAGGTATCACGGAGTGAAGGAAGGAACTGGAGAGAGTGAGGAGGAGACCCACAGGACACGTGTTAGGAGAGGATGGCAGGCCTTGTAGACCTTAGTCAGGAGCGCAGGTTCAGAGTGCTCACGGGGATTGATGAAGGGTTTTTCAGGATGGCATGATCTAATTTATACATCCACATGATCACTCTGGCTCCAGGGCAGGGAATGAATTAAGACAGGAGCCAGAAGGAAGCAGGAAATCAGGAAAAAAGCTGTGGTAATAGTTTGGTCAGAGATCATTTCAACATAGACTCAAGTAGTCAAGAGAAACAGCGGGCTACAGGAGTTCTATTAAACATCAAATTTTCGGACTTGCTAGATAGATCAAAGTGAGAGAAGAATAAAAGAAAACAATCATGATGACTGTATGGTTTGTCATCTGAACCACTGGGTAAATAACAGTACTAGAGTGTGTGCGAGCTAGTGCACAACTTCTCACGAGAGAAGATTATGCCGATTCTTTCTGACACTGGTTCAGAGACCTCAGGTTGATAGCTTGACATGGATAATATTAGCATGATTTACACACCAGGGGATGAACAAACACTACGATCCAGGGCTTTTCTACCCTTCTAACCCCCACAGTAGATCCATCTTTACCAGCACATGCTGGATGATGTCAGTAGACACAAAGGCTGTAAAGTGAATTGTTTTCGGAGAGGGGCAAGGTCGGAATTTCAGAAGAAAGATAAGAAACTACTGTATTTTATATGTCTGTTAAACACCTAGGTAGAGATGCCATGACCATGGCTCAATTGAGTTTGGAGTTGAGGAATAACAAGTTGTAGTCTAGAAGTACAAATATCTGTTGTTGAAATATATATAATTCAAAGCTGCAGGACTGCATGGGATCACCAAGGGAGAGAGGCAATAAAGAGAAAAGACTGGGCCCCACCCCTGTAGCATAGCAATTAAGCTCTGTGCATAAGGAGCCAGATCTCACATGCCTGACTGCGGTTCAAATCCTGGCTTCGGCGGCTTAAAAAGCACACCAGGTACATGCATGTGTGAGCTCAAAATCCTGATGGGATGGAGAAATGGAGGAAAAGGATTGTGGGATAACCAGGTCCTATTGGGGGTTCTTCTTCCCTCTCTCACTCTTTGGCAAGTGCATGCACCCCTGGCAATTAAAAAGAGAGAGAGAAGAGAACCCAGGACTAACATTGGGGCCCTACGATTTAAGGTGAGAAAGAAAGGGAGAAAACAGAGCAAGTGGATGAGAAGGAATTACTACTAATGGGAAAAGAAAATTAGGTGCTTCCGATATCTGGGAACCCAAGAAGGGTCCCACACAGGAGGGAGTGGACGATGATGTCAAATGCTGCTGGAAAAGAATGGCAAGGTGCAACAGACACTGGTGACCTTGATGAGAATGGTTTCTGTGGGCAGATCCTAGAGTGCACAGGGCTCGAGCATGAACAGGAGATGGGCGTACAGGCAACAAGTGTAGGGACAGCCTCTCATGGAGCACATCCGTTCCCACTACTTGGAAACTCGCTTTATCCTCCTAACACTGGCAATTTAGGAGCACCTCCGCATGGCTGGAATGAACACCCTCATATATCCCCCATTCCTCCATTAATTCCATCTTGTTTACTTACTAACTTGCGTTCATTACTGTGTCAATTACTATGTAATTATGGATCTTTTTTCTTATACAGATTGAGAACTTTGAAATAGGATCTCTGCTCCATAGGAGGTCTGTTGTACCTACCACACAGATAATTTAATAATGGTTTACTTAATGAATAAAAACTGAACACAAACAAAAAGAATACAAAGGAAAATACAATTGTTTAGTGTCTTAATCCTCTAGGAGCCATAAGGAAATCACAACCACTATTCTATACCTGTATGTACAAGGGTGGGTTGTATGAGGTTTGGATAAGATGGGAACCACGAGGCTGAGGGTGGTCCCTTTCCGCCCACATGGTTAGTTACAGTAGGTGGTATTTGTGGTTTCCTCAACAGCAGGGACATACTCCGCCTTCTCTTAGATGACATAGGACTGTTGGGTTCTCCAGCACGTTTCACTTTGTTTTGTGGCCCTGCTACAAACTCATCTGCTTCATCAATCATCATTCCCTAAAAAACATCAATGAACGTATCCCATTACAGACAAAAATTCAAATATCACAAAACTGCAAACATTCTTCATATGCGTACACAATCAATCATGCATTACATCACTAATCTAAGTCTTCATCGTGGGCCAAAGATTTACCACGCCCCACACCAACTCGTTCTCAGAAAGTGCAATACAGCTTTAATCCCATCTAAGTGGAACAAGAAGGAAACTAGCACAAGGTGTTGTTGTCCAAGGCTAAACATACTATAATAGTGATTAATTAGAAAGCTTAAGGATGGAGCAGTTCTAATCAATCAGAGGGGATAAACCCAAAGTTATCTGTTTGAAGTACAAACCATTCTGCATTAACACCTGGCAAGGTAATTTCCTTTTTTGGTGTGTTTATGCTTTAAACTCATCACTAAGAAACAATGATTATCAGGACCAGCAGATGGCATAATGTGTAGGTCGCTGGACTCCCACATAGTCGATCATGTTTTAAATCCTGGACCCAGAGGCTTAAAACACACCAAGCACATGTGCGTGTGTGCCCAAAATCCCAAGAGGAGAAAGGAGGAGAAGGGACTGCAGCGTTGCCATTCGCATGAAGAAGGGACTGCAGCGTGGCCATCCTCCTGGGGGGTGGGGGGAGTAATTTCTCACTTTCTGTCTCTGTCTCTCTGGCAAGCGCACATGCCCTATAGCAAAAAATCTCTCTCTTAAAAACAACAACACAATAATCACTATACAAGGGGACTTCAAAAAGTTTGTAGAAAAAATGGAATTAAAGTATAAGTTTAGGCAGCTGCTGCCACACAGCCATCACCCTCCAGCATCAGTGCCATCCCCAGCTTACCAAGCTCCAAAGGACAAGGGAGTAAGCGAGGAGAGGTCTCTATACCATGGCCCATACAAAGCAGACAGCTGGCAAGTCCACCAGTGGCAAGCACCAGGAAGCAACTGACTGCTGAAGCCACTCACAAGAGAGTGCCCTCTACTGGAGGAGTGAAGAAACCTCATCGTTACAGGCATGGTACTGTGGCACTCCATGAAATTAGACATCATCAGAAGCACTAAGTAGGCACTTGATAAGTGTCGGTTATTATTTTATTCAATCAATCAACTCTTGCATCAGAAGGTTCCCACTTTCCATCAACAAAAAGCAAGGATGTCTTATTTTATCTTTTAAACAAACAGGAGAACCTCTGATCTTGTCAAAAAGAAAGAACTATAGCAAGAATATCATAATTGAAGCAGACAGAGAAATAACTATCCTACCTTTTTATCTTGTTTAAATGGATTGCCAAAAGTATGCAGTCTTTTTGGTTGATCTGGATCAATCTCTCGTAGTGGAGAAGCCAATGTCTTCAGATATTCCTGATAGTTACCCATTTGTGAGACTGGAACACTATGAAGGGAATCTACAAAATCACCCGAACAGAAAACAATGCTATACAGCTGACATGTATGGTCCTTTGCAGAGGACATAATCACATTCGGTTTAGCAATGTGTACTTCGGCAGCAAATAGTCTAAGGTCTCGAATCTTGCATTCTAGGATCTTGACTCATCTCTCTGCATCCCAATCATCACTTAGTCTATCATCACTAACTCCTATAGGCTTCACATCACTAGGACCAGAACAACTCCCTCATCTTCAAGCAATCTTTGGAAATGGGCTCACTTCCCTTATACCAACTCAAAACACCATATATAAGGGGATTTCAAAAGAGTAGAGGGACCAGCAGTTGGCATAATGGCTGTGTCGCTGGACTCCCATGTAGTCAACCGCGGTTCGAGTCCAGGACCTGGTGGCTTAAAATCACACAGCGTGCCATGTGCGTGCATGCCCAGGATCCCAAGAGGAGAATGGAGAAGGGACTGCGGCGTGGCTATCCTCCCTGGGGGGTGATTTCTCGCTTTCTGTCTCTCTTTCTCTCTCTCTGTCTTTCTGGCGACGCACACATCCTATAGCAAAACCTCTCAAAAAAAAGTTAGTAGAAAAATGGAATTAAGGTATGAGTTTATTTTGGTGCAAACAACTTTGAAACTTTGAAATTCATGTATAATTTTTTTCTAATATGCATTTTCATATCTTCTGCATATTTAAGTTCTTAGGTTCCCTGGGGATCTCTCTCTCTCTCTCTTTTTTTTTTTTTTTTTTAGCTTTTTGCCATAGGGCACATATGCTTGCCAGAGAGAGACAGGGAAAGTAAGAAAATCACTCCCCATGGGGCAATGACCACACTGCAATCCATACTCATTTTCCTCTTGGGATTTTGGGCACACACATACGTGTGCCCACCATGTTTCAGGTCATCTGGTCTGGGCCTTGAGCCACAGTTGGCCATGTGGGAGTCCAGTGTCTTAACAACCATGCCAACTGCTGGCCCTTCCCTGGTGATCTCATCCTGCAGAGAATCTTGGTTAGTGAATCTTAACCTCTGAGAATTTTATTAAATGTACAGGTTTTCTCCCTTGAAAAGCTCCCTTACACACAGCACTTAGAGTTTAATTTCGGGAGTGGCCATGATGCGATTTATTCATTTAGTGGACAGATTGCCCTATTTAAAATGACCAAAATGGGATAAATGAAACTTGTAAACAGTTTCAATTATCTTGCACACTATCAGGTTCATTACTTTCACGCAAATGAGGTATCTCTGTTGAGTTCCTCACAGTAGGCTCAATGGTATAGTGTTTGGGTGTGCAGGCTGGGAAATTTGACAGACCCAAGTTCTGCCACTTCCAACTGGCCAAATTACTAAGATGCTCACTCTCACTTTCCATTTCTATAAAGTGGGCATTAGACAGTATCTATCTCCTGGGGCTGTTTGACACTTACAAGTGCTAAAGCACAGCAAGTGTACTGTGTGTGTTCACTAATGCACGCTTGCCATTAAACTGGGGGAAAATAAACTGTGGGTAGACACAGGGATTCAGTAAAAACAGACATTGTAACCATTAACAAAATTCAAAAATGTATTACAAAATACATGCTCATTATGTAATAATCACCTCAATATAGGTCATACCTAATATATTCTTAATCCATGAAAAATATTTCATTATTCATTTACCTTCATCTTGTCCAACAATAAACTTGTGTGTTTTTAGTAGATTGGATCTCATTCTGGTCAACTGATCTAGAAGACCTCTACGTGGAATATCATAAGCATTTCTATATGTCTGAGGCTTCAAATCCTATTTAAAATGAAACAAATAATTTCAGTCACTCCTGAGGCTTTTAATATGAAGAGAGCTATATTCAACACAATTAACAATAGTAGAATTGTCCCGGGGGAAATTTCCATTTCTTATTCTGATTTCTTTCTTTCTTTCTTTCTTTTTTTTTTTTTTTT